AGATCAATGAATTGATTTCTTAGATAAAGTGTAAAGATGCTAATACTTTGATATTTGGTAATGAATGCTTAAATTCAAAATCTTTCTATGCATTAAAAATAATTTTGTTCATTAAAAGTCATTTTAATGCAATGATTTGATCAAATATAAAAATGACTTTTGAAAATGATATTTGGGCTTGAAAAACTTTTTTTTTTAATCTTGAAAATTTAATAAAAAATACTTTACAAAAGTCCATGCCTTTCAAAGCCTTCGATTCGAAACAAATGAGACCAAAACGTAAAAGACCGAATTGCCGGGTGGTCGCCAGAAGTTTTTAACGGTCCAAAATTTAACCGTTCTGATCTCTGATTTTTAATTTTCAAATGGCTATATTGATCATCCAGGCTAGAGGCGGTCGATCGGATGAGTCATCCGAACTCCTAGATTTTTTGACGTTTTGAACTCTATAAATACATCTACTTCTTGCATTCAATACAATATTTTTCAAGAGCATTAAATTGAGATATCTTTTGAGAGATTTCTTAAATATTAAATTTGTATTCATTTCATTTATTCTTCATATAAAAAATTTTGATTGTTTCAAACTCTTCAATCATCATATTCATCAAAGGTTTTAATCTCTTTTTGTACTTAATTTATTTTTATCACTCATAAAAAAGAGTCATATATTGAAGAAGATATTTGAACTTACATTGCATATATTTCTTCTACTACTTCATATTGAAAATTTTGATCGATTGAATCAAACTTGTAAAATCATCATATTCATAAAAAAATTTCATCTCTCTTTTGGTACTTAATTTATTATAATCATTCATTAAAAGAGATATATTTTAAGAAGGTTTTTGAACTTATATTGTATTTGCTTCTTCTTCATCTCATCATAGAAAAACTTTGATTGCTTAAATAAAATTTCTAATTATTAGATATATCAAAGTTTTTCATATCATACTTGAGCTATCATTTATTACTATTAATTGAGGTATTAGTATATTTTAGTACTTAATTTGTTTGTATTATTTATCAATTTATGAATTTCATTGTAAAATCACTTTGATAAAATGTGGGTCATGTTGAAATCTCGTAAAAATCAACATTGTATAAGGTTCAGTGTTCCTTTTTGTAAGTCACCGTGTTGGTCATATTAAGGTCCCGTAAAGTTTAATATAGTTGGTCATATTGAAGTCCCGTTAAAGCTTAATAATGGGTCGTGTTGAGATCCCATAAATTTCAACATTAGTGCTCCTTGTTTGTAATTCATCGGAGCGTTGTAAAGGGTTAAATTGTACCATAAGTTAATCAACATAGTGAAAATGGCTTACTCATGCCGGAGAGCTTGGTAACAAATGATGTAAATCATTACTTTGAATCGAACCTCCACAATTACATCGTTTGCATAATCTCTCTATTTTACTAATCACTTTTATATTTGTGCTTGTTATTTGAATTAATTTATTTAATCTTTACTTACTTGAATTTAGATTAATTCTTAGAAAAAGTTTTTAAAATTAATTGACACCTCTCTTGATTAGTTATCCTAGACCATCAAGAACAGGTTTGGCTAATTTGGAAGCTTGTCTTGTGGACCATTCAAAGCAAGTTCGGTCAATGCTAGGGATTTGATCATCCTTAATTATCGACCATCAATTGTAGTCATCATTGATAGTATCATTAATGATGTTGCCGTTACTAATAAAAAGATGTAAATTATTGAAATTGCGAAAACCTAACTTTTTAATATTTAGCTTAACTGAAATTTCAAGTTGGTGAAGTTTAATAAATTTGTCAAAATACATATTTCATTGGCACTTTTTTATGCATTCATAATTTATTCCTCATATTATATTTAGAATAATGCTAAAATGCTAGTTCAAGTGACATTAAATGGAAGATATAATTAAGTGATACCTCTTATTTAATGTGCCATCTAAATTAGTATTATAACATCAGTGATGCTAAATATAATTATAATATATTACTCTTAAGTTATAATTTAGCCTCTATTTGTCAATCATTATTTCAAAACTCTTTTTCAACATATTCATTTTTAATTACACATTTATACAATAAAATATTTCGAACGTAAATCCAATTTTTTTCACTTAATTTTTCAAAACAATCAGTATTCAAATTTCCATTTTACTCAAATATTGATGTCAAACATGGGATTGATCCCTAGCGGATCAGACAAGTGAGTTGGATAGGAAGATTAATATCTATCCATGACAAGAATTCAAATTGGAATTTTTCTCGTAGGATGTCTAAGTGTAAGAGGGTGCACAGGTGCAATCTGCCCTACATTCAATATTTGTTAATAGGTAAGACGTTTTGAACAAGTTAGCGGCCCCATAATCTACTTGACTCCTGCTGAGCCCAATTATTCAAAAATTAGGGATCATTTTCAAATCGTTTTCTGTTTTTTATTTTTCAAAACAGTAAAAATGCATTCTTTTTTTCATTTTCGAAAACGCGTTTTTTCAAACAAGTTAAAAATTTACAAAGAAAACCTAAAATGACAAATTTGTCTTTTTGATTTTTTTAGTTATAATCAAGTCAAAATTTTCAAAATACGTTTTTGGTGTTTTCAAAACAATTTTTTAAAATGCCAAAAAAAAACACATTTTCAATAATCTCAAAATGGACATTCAAAATACAAAATTCAAAATGAATTCAAAACTCAAAACATAAAAATGAAACACAAAGAGAACAACCCCTTAAATGGTCATTCTCTTTATTTTTCATTTTTGTGTTTTGAGTTTTAAATTAATTTTGTGTTTTGTGTTTTGAGTGTCTATTTTGAAATTTCTGAAAATGCGTTCTTTTTGCCATTCTGAAAAATCGTTTCTGAAAATATAAAAATGAAAA